AGTCATCATTCTCTGAGGACAACCAGTATAAATAAAGATCTTTAATGAAATAATAGAGTCACATTTGAGTCATAAAGAAGAAAATTAAATACTTTTGTATTTAGGTTTACTAAATTATTTTCCAACTGTATGATTCTGGGTATGAGAAGAAAGGGTATAAAGAGGAAAGTCATTTAAAGTACCAATTTAACATGCGTTTTTCATTTTCCACTGCTTGCCATCAACTAGGGAATGACTTACCTAAAATGATTATAAAAAATGGTTTCACTTCTTTGATCAAGAAGCTCAGACCAGTAACTATGAAGTTGGTAATGGTTTCGGTATTGTTGCAAGTCATAATGGAAATGATTTGCACTATGGTAGAGAGAAAAGGAGTAAAAAAGCTCAACAATTGTTAATTACCTTCACTGTTTCTCCACAAATGCCAGGAGTATGAAAAACAAGGTTGCTGAAGTGCAAACATCAGGATTTAATGAACAATGGGATGAATTGAAGTAACAGTGAATGACTTAATCTCAGGACAGTGGGTTGTTTAATTACAGGGATAATGGATCTTCTAAAAGGACAAACTAAATGGAACAGAAGGAGCTGGGAGTGGTGATGAGCCACTAGGCTAAAGAAAGTATGTGGACGAGAAACTTCTAGGGAAAGCTAGAACTCTGCTATATAGGAAATACTTTATTAAACATGATGGTCCCCAAAAGGGTAACTACTAGGGGAAAAAAGACAGACTGGTCTGGGCTGCCATCAACCTTCAATAGATCACAGTAGAGGCATTAAGGTTTCTGCAGGCATGGATCTGTGCTTTTTCAAGAATTTCTAATAATCTTAAAGACTTTCTCGTAGATGTGAGAATGAGGGCAATAATATGTTTGTCAGAACACCGTTGCCCAGGATGCCAAGATGCTATCTCTCAGATACAGCGGATTGGCAGGCTCATTTCCTGGGTTTAAGAGTTCAAAAAACCATTTCTCACTTCACTTTGATTACAAGTCAACCTTCTCTTGCTAATTCAGCACACTAGCTACGAGCTATTGGGTTTTCTCATCTTCTGAAAGTGCAGTAAATGTCCTTTCTCCCCTGTGGTATACTTTCCTGGAACTAAAATCCTCAAGTCTTCACTCGCGCCTTAGAAGTTTCAGGGGATCTGTTCTGAAATCATTCTCTGGACACAGTGCACGCTCAGGGCCTAAGATCCTCCAGCAATAAAATCGAACGTGCCTGTAATTTTGCAAAGGAGGAAAAACCGCCAAGCAGCAAGTAGGGTTTATTCCTCTTCTAGCTGTCAAATTCGAATCCCTGGAGAGTAGAGGAGGCCTCGAGTCCTGTGTATAGACCTTCCCCTGATGCCAGCGTTAGGCAGGGTGGCAGCGTCAGGATGGTCTGCCCCATTGAACACCAGCCTGCAATGCCCTGATAGGGGATAGTTCCTTACGGTGCTCCAGTAAGCGTGACTCCATGCGGCTTTGCTTAAGTTTGAGGAAACACAGAGGAATTTTCCTCCCAGGATGCTGCAAAGAATTACTTCCCAGAGCCCATTTGTTAGTATAATGATTTCATGTATAAGAAGCTGGCAGGGTGTCTTTATGTTCTAGAAAACACCCCACACCTCAGGGAGAACACATCCTAATCTTAGAGGTGTGAAACCTAATTTTTAGGTGGTTATGTGAGGTGTTTCTGAGTATTTAATCAAACAGGAATTTGGGGGGCTTCTTTTTAAACGTGTCCCTGCCATGGCACCAGGTTGTCATTTCAAGTTGTCAGGCGGCTGCTTTTGATTTTTCTCTGACTTTTCTTTCCTTGAAAGAATTTATACACACACACACTTTCTCCCTCTCTCAAGTTTGTTCACCACACTTTGGTTTCCAATTACTTAAACCACCTCAGGCAAATTTAGAAAATCAAGACTTCAAACCACTGGGTGTACATGTCTCGGAGGGGGGATTAAAGTGAGAAAGGGGGGGTCGGGGAGAAGAGAAGAGAGATGATGCTGAAGGCTGGGGGAGCTTGCCTGAAAGGAAACGAAAAACTTTAAATTTTTTATATTGACCTTCTGCTAACATTTTGTCACCCAAGCACAGACCGGATCAGGTGCCTTCTCTGGAGCTTTGAGTATAATCATCCACCATGAAAGTGAAGTTGGGACAGGTCCAACAAAAGGCATGAAAAATCACTGTTTGAGGCCAGGTCCCTAGAAAGAAGTGGCCCACCCCTGTCCCAGTTTTAACTCTAGATTTCTAATCGTAAATCCATATTTGAAAAGGAAGATTAATGTGGCTATCTAAAATCATAATTTTCCATTAATCTTTTCCACAGGAGCTATCAACAGGGGGAAAAAAGGATCCAAGAGTTCACATGAATTGCTTCAACTTCAAGAACCATTTTGATGATGAGTTGAGTGTTAACAAATCAGAAACACATGGTCTTAATTGACTGTGAAATAAATAATGATTCAAAATGAAAGGGGGAAAAAAGTATTCAGATACAAAGGATTAAAAAAGACTTAAACCTCAAAAGTTCCTTCAGGCATTGACTTCTTCCCCACTCCCAATCCCATCTTCTCCGTCCCCCTTCTTCCGGTCCGGGGCTCATGTCTCCTGAGAGTAAATTACTGCTGGATTCCCTGACCTATATTTACATGCAGATATTTCTCCTTAAAAACCTGTGGGGCGGGCCAGTGGCGCGATAGTTAAGAGCTGACTTGGGACACCAGAGGGCCCCGGTTCGGATCCCATATATGAGGACCAGTGACACTGCCCTCTACAGCTAAGATGCTGAACAACAGCTCAACCTGGAGCTGGGCTGCCTGCTGCAGTGGGTTGCCATGGGCTACCGTGTGCAGCCAGCAGCCAGCGTGAGCGGCCAGCAGCCGCAGTGAGCAGCTGTCCAGAAGCCGGAGACTGATCTGCCTCGCCCGGGAAGAGCGCAATGATGGTGCCAACTTGGGCCAGTGAAGCAGCGTTCTCCACAACTAGACTGAAGAACAAAAGGATAGCAACTTGTCTGTTCCCCTTCTCCCAATTCCCCAATAAAAATCTTAAAAACAACCAAACAAACAAAAAAACCCTATAGGGCTTCTAAAGTGTTTCAAAGTAAAAGCACCAACATTTTCTGGGTTAGGACCAAGGCACTGGGTGTGAAGTCAAACTCGGGATCAGTGAAAAGAGAGACAGTAGGCTCGGATGCAAAGTTCATCTTTTGTTCTCCAAGTGGGGTTCTCCATGCAGGACACACATTAGAATTATCAATATTTGGAGTGTTAAAACAACAACAACAAAAACCTATCCACGCCTGGTCTCCATCCTCAGAGACTCTGATTTAACCAATCACAGGGGAAGGCCCAGGCATTGATCCATCCGGATCTGCACTGCTAACAAGCGCCAGAAGAGATGTGAATTAAATTTTATAAATATGTACATAGCACTCATGTGCCAGGCAACATTCTAAGTGTCTTACAGGAGATTGACTCTTTTATCCTCACAATACCCCATGAGACAAGCAGGCACCATGATCATCATCTCCATTTCACAGATGAGGAGAGACACAGAGAGGTTTCGAAACTTGCCCAGTGTCACACAGCTAGCCAGTGACAGAAGCAGGATTCAAAGCTGCCTGGCTCCAGAGTCAGTGCTCTTAACCACTATACCAATAGCTCTCCAGATGTAGTCCTGGACCAGCAGTGTCTGCAGAGAGCTCTTTAGAAATGCACATTCTCAGACCACACCGCAGACCTACTGACCTAGAAACTCTGAGGTGCTGCCTTGCAATTGGTGCTTAACCTCTCTAGGCGATACTGATGTATACTAAAGTTTGAACACTACTGCACCCCACTGCCTCTCCTCAGACAGTGTACAGTCAGAAAACAGAACCGTTGCCTTTCTGCTCAGCTTCCAGTCCCATGGATGGCAGTTGAGCATGGGGCCATCTTCAGTGGAGGGTGAGGGACATCTGCCAGTGACCAGGAACTCCAAACCCCTGATCTGTGGACTATTCTCCCACCAGAGAACATAACCATAACACGGTCTGCAGCAACATGGTGCCTACTCTGATTAGGCAATGAATTCTTCCTGGATGACACTGCAGCACTCACCAGCCAGAGAGAAGCCACAGGAGACTCGGCTCCCTCACAAAGCAATACCAAAACCTCACTGTAATTTTTTCCTCCTTCTCGACTAATGAGATTGTGAAGAAGCCCAGAGTCTCCATAAAGTGAAAGATCAAACCAGAACACAGCACTCTCTTTCCCAAGCCTCTATTAACAGAAAAGCATAGAATATTCCTAAGTAATTCTGGAGCTACTTGCCACGCTTGGTTCTCTAAAATTCCTGTATGTGCACGAAATTGCTACCTCTCCCTTTCGGAAGATGAAGAGGGTGGGTAAAAAGGAGGTTCTCAAATGGGCGAAACCCTCCATGTTCCTGGCAATCATCCTCCTGTAGTGATTTACAGCATTCCTCTAAAAATATCTATGAGATCACAGACATCAAGTGCATGATACCAAACATTGGTAACTAACCCTGAAAATAAAGCGAGGGCATCATGTTGCATGGGGAACACAGTGGGATTTGTCTTTTGCTATCGTTCTAAAATAAGACGGCCTCAATTTGGTTGAAATATATCTTCACACATTGTCTTCCAGAGCAGAGAGCCATTTGAGAAATTCTGATTGCAATTATAAGTGCTGAATGGGGAGTACTTTGCATTTCCTTTGACGCTGCTGAAAGCTATAAGCAATCTTGATATTAAAATCTTTGGAAATTGATGAGTACCCCAGGCATCATTACAATACTTTCTCCCCCAATCCAAGTAATTACAATCTATTATATGAACACGTGTTAATATTTTATCAACTACTGTTTTTAATTAACTAAACATCTGAGGCTTCCTGCAAGTAGGAATGATATCGTTTCATTTGAAGTGACCCCCCACCCCCAACCACAATCTCTAACTCCCACACAGGCTATTTCCGAGTCTGGATGGAAAGCTTTGCGCAAACATACCACAGTGCTGAATTCCGGAACCTGCCACAGCAGCCAGTCTTCGTTAAGGGTGTACAGAGCCTTGCAAGTGATGACATCAACGGGACCTTTGTTTATTTTCTGGTTCAGCGTTGTCACCAGCAAATAGAACGGCTCTCCAACAGTTTCCTTAGACAAGACACAAAAGCGACAGTTAGCTTTCAGTGGAAGCCACTGTACTTTCCAGAGGATTATAAAGTTTCAGGTCATGGCTGTACGACAGGAGACAGGAGGCAGTGTTTTCTAACAAGCAACAGGAAACGCCCAAGGAAATACATACTGCTCCATTTAGGGTTGGGAGCGAACCTCAGGAAACTGCACCCTCTCCCCAACACATGCACGCGCACACACACACACGCGCGCGCACACACACGCACGCGCGCACGCGCACATGCGCGCGCCCACACACACACACACACACACACACACACACACACACACACACACGAACACGCACGCGCACACACGCACAGTCGGCCGCAAGATGAAGTTCACACAGTAGTTGATCCTTCCCGTATAATGAAGCCTCTGTATGGTACACGAATGGTCATGAGTTAGCTAATGCCTAAGAGTGAGTAGATGCAGAGTTTTAACCTGTGTTTATGCTCCTATTTAATTGCCTTTTTTTTAAAGAAAAACAAAATAAATGGCATTTTCAAAATTTGACTTTGGGGCCGGCCGAGTGGCGCGATGGTTAAGAACTCGCTTGGGATGCCAGAGGGCCCTGGTTTGGATCCCACATATGAGGGCCAGTGACACTGCCCTCCACAGCTAAGATGCTGGACAACAGCTCAACCTGGAGCTGGGCTGCCATGAGTCGCCAGCAATGGCGTAGGCTGCAGCCCCTGTGGCAGTGGGTTGCCATGGGCTACCGTGTGTAGCCAGCAGCCAGTGTGAGCGGCCAGCAGCCGCAGTGAGCGGCGGTCCAGAAGCCGGTGACTGATCTGCCTTGCCAGGGAAGAGCGCAATGATGGTGCCAACTTGGGCCAGTGAAGCAACGTCCTCCACAATTAGATTGAAGAACAAAAAAAAAAATAAACGACAGCAACTTGTCTGTTCCCCTTCCCCCAATTCCCCAGCACTGTTCCCATCCCCCCAATTCCCCAATAAAAATCTTTAAAAAAAAAGAAAAGAAATGCTGTGCTCAATGGAAGGGAGCCTGATGACCCCACCCCACCCCCTTTAAAAAAAAAATTTTGACTTTGGGTGGTGAACACCCAATGCAATTGACAGATGATGCATTATAGAATTGTACACTTGAAACCTATGTAATTTTATTAACCAATGTCACCTCAATACATTTCATTAAAAATTAAAAGAATAAAATGCACAATGATTCGTCATGGTAACCAGAATAAACATAAGCACATTTTAGACATTTGCTGAGGAGGATGCTCTTTGGTGTCAACAGCTTTTCATGAAGGAAGTGCACAACTTGCAGCCATCTCTCGGGCCCCTGTGCAGGCCAGTGCCATGGCATTCCCAGACAGCCTGTGCCGTCCCACCTGAGCACCTCTGCTGGGTGGAGCCACCAATGGGAGTCATCTCCTTTCCTGGCCGGGAGCCAAACCTATGGCTCTAACGCTTTTACCAAACATTGGGCCCACCCTGATGGCTTCTTTCCACACCTCTGCCGAGTGCACTTTTTCCTGGACCAGGGGCTGCCACCCCTGCTGTTATTGAGGTTTGCAGCCACTTCGAGCTTACATAGACTCTGAGCAGCCCAAGTGGGAGGCTCGTGTGTTCTGCTTCTGCTGAGCCTCCCAAGGCACGTGGCCCTGGGTCAACTCTAGTGTATTTGCAAAATAAGAAACCGCCTATGATCAACAGACATTGAACTGAATATGTAAGGGAGGAAGAGCCGGTGCCAGAACCAGGAAGTCAGACTGCCTTAGTGATGATGAAAAGCCAGCCATGTAAAGTGAGACTTCTTTTATGTCCCGTGGGTTCCCCAAACCACCCTGCCCCATCCTTTATATTTACTCCCAGAACATGTGCCCTCCCAGTCCGGGGCTTCCTCTTGCCCCTTCTGCACCCCACCCCACCCCACCCCCGCACCGGGTTCCCTTTATCACTTCTCTCTCCCCTGCTGACACATCCTGGAGTTTGTTCCTTAGTGTGGGGCAGACGTGGAATCTTCAAAAATTTCCCAGGTGGGGCTGGCCAAGTGGCTCAGTTGGTTAAGACCTCGCTCCAAGATTGCTAGCTCTGAGCAACAGGGTCGCCGGTTTGATTCCTGGCCTGAGCTGAGCTGCTGCTGAGCTGCCAACAGGTGACAGGATGGCTCAGCTAAAAAAAAATAAAATTTTCCAGGTGGACAGAGGGTTGGAACTAGTAGGCGACATTTAAACTCCTTTTAGAAACTTCCTTAATTTAGTGGTTCACAACCGTGCTGCTCTCTTCTCTTTCCCGCTGCCCTCTTGGGTAACAGCCTGACCACAAACCTAGAACCTCTACTTCTCCATTCCTCCAGCACACATCAGAGACAGCATGAGTGCCCTTGTGAAGGGCTGGCTGTGCCCACAGAGGCTGGAGGCAGGGAGCCAGGTGGGCTCTCCTGGGCTAGGTGGAGGGGCAGCTAATGACATGATGGTCCTGTAGTCAGGAAATTTTCAGAATTCTCCAGAGTGAAGCAAGGCTGACATCAGTAACAATCTTGTCTTCACTGCTGCCCACGCATGTGGTTCTAACCCTGGATAGTATCCAGAATCCCCTGGGGCTCTCATAAAAATGCTGGTGCCTGGACACTACTTTAGACCAACAACTGGAATCTCTGGAGATGAGGCCTGGGCATCTTAACATGAAGCCAGGTGGCTGGCTTAGGACACCACAGGGCTGGCTGTAAGGTTTCTTTGTCACCACTGAACACCATGTTTAGGTTAGGCACCTGCTGGGGGCTTAGGCATCTTTCCAGAGCAGGGTACACACATCAGTCCAGGAAGCAGAGCCCACCTCGCTGAACTGCCCCCGCCCTTCCCCTCCTGTGATGGCAAGTCGGTGTCCTTTACTGGCCTTTTGTTCGTGAGACTTGACTCGAGCCCTGGCTGAGCCAGAGGCTTTCATGCCCGTGATCTTGTTCCATCCTTCAACCCTCTCCTCACCTGTGAGAAGGTGCCCGCCTCATTGAGGAGGCAGTAATGGGGGTGACTAAGAGCTCTCAAACCCTGGTGCTGTCACATGCTAGCTGTGGGATCCTGGGAAAGTCACATGTATTCTGTATGCCCCAATTACCCCATTGCAAAATGGTCATAAAGGTACTTACCTCACAGGATTAAGGGAGACAAGGTAAGTAAAGCTCTTAGCATGATGTCTGGCACATTCAATAAATGGCAGTTATTAATATTATTACTTTACCCCCAGAGCCTGGGAGGTTCACAGGGGAGAGTTACCTGGAGGTCACAGAGCTAGCGGCGCCCAGTCAAATGTCCGTGGGCTAGGGCAGGAGGACTAGGGATGTCGGAGTCCCACACCCCCTCGGGACCTGGTGGGGGAAGTCAGGCCCTCCACAGCTGAGGGAATTTATTCCACTGAAAACGAAAGCATCGCCCACTGGCTCAATGCCACTTCCTCCCAGTGAGCACACCGCCTCCTCACCACCAAGTGATCAAGACATCCTTCAATCAGCACTGCGAAATTCTGACCCAGAATCCTCTGCTCAAGGGGACCCTTTAGGCTTGAAGCCCAGATTTTCGGAATGCCTCACCCCTTTAATGCCCAAGAGCAGCAAGAACAAGGCACCAGCCAACCCTTGAGGGCCCAGAGTAAGAATCACAAGATCCCAGGAGAAAAAGCCGGAAAGGAATTTAAAACCAATGGCCATGCCCCTCACTTGGTGGGTAGAAAACAGATGCCCAGGTGGAAAGTGCCATGACCAGAGACACACAGCTAGCTGGGGCTGGGGTGAATTTAGAGCCTGAATCTGCAGCATCTAACCAAGACTCCTCATCCAGTGCTCTTTCTCCTACCAAGGGTTCTCAAATGTAGGCCACTTGGAATTACCTGGAGGAGCTTGGAAACCATAGATAATGGGTAAACAAGCTCATGGATAAACCCAGAGCTTCTGGAACTGGGCACTGTGGTGTGGCAGCCGTCAGCCTTTAAGACGAAGAAGCCCCAGGAACTGGGAGGCTCCTGCTGCCTCTGTTCAGTTGTGACTGAAGCTAGGATGGTGGGAAGCAAAAAAATCCACCCCAGAAATAACCGCTCAACACCTCCCCAAAGCATATGATGATTTATACTACGTAAACAGAAAAGAAGGCAGATTTCATTAATCTTAATAAATGGATATGGCCTTGGGAGAGGAAGGGGTTGGTTTAAAAAAAATTGTTGTGCATTTACTTGTGAGATTGCATTAAACATTAAACTAAGCACAGTCTATTTAAAGTGTTGCTTTTGGATCTAAACTTAAGTAGCACTGTTAAAACCTGTGGCATAGCAGTATATCTTATTCAAAGTTTAATTAGATTTCAGAACCAGCTACAAGTACACAATTATGCAGTTTTGCTGGAATCTGGATGGCTGGTGAAATTAAAGAAGGATAAGAACATTCTGTACCGGGGGCCTCAGAGGGCTGAACTGAGGTTGGATTCAACAGGACACTCTCACTCTTCTTTTCCTATTAATATTTTACAATAATAATGGCCAACATTTATGGAGTGCTTACTCAGTGCTGAGCAGTTGCATACATTTTCTCATCTGTGCTTCAGAACAGCTCTAAAATGTTCTTCTAATTCTACAGGTTATAAAACCAAGGCTCAGCCAGGTTGAGAAACCAGCTCGGGGTCTCTAGTCAGCGGTGGATCTAGATTCAGAACAAGCAGGAAGCTCCGAGGTCCACTCTCTCAACCAATGGAATCTGCACCAAGCGTGCGTTGGAAAAGATATTAAGATTCAATTAGATTACAGACAGCCATGCTCTCACAGTGACTCCAACAAAGTGAACTCAAGGGGCTGCTGGCTCTTTGGGGACTTGCTTTAACATGGAAATTGAGCATCATTAGCTTCAGCACATTGGTAGGTGAATAGGTGTTTCCCAGATGCTCAGAAGCCCTGAGAACAGCATGTTCTTTTCAGTATTTGAAATATTCCCTCCACTCAGTACATTTTCTTAAATGGGTCGACTGGGCTCTGGTTGTTAGTGAATGATGTAAAGGTGGGCTCAAAAGTCAATGGGTATAAAATCTCAGTTATGCAAGAGAAATAAGTTCTAGAACTCTGTGTATGACATTGTGCCTATAGATCCTAGCACAGTTTTGTGCACTTAAAAATCTGCTAGGATTTCTTTGGATAGATACCTAAGAGTGGAATTGCTGGGTCATAAGGTAGTTCCATTTCCAGTTTTTTGAGATACCTCCATACTGATTTCAATAGTGGTTGCACCACTCTGCAAGCAATTCTACTCTTAGGTATCTATCTATTAGAAACCCAAGATGCTAGTTCAAAAAAATATATGCACATCTATGTTTATCGCAGCACTATTTACAATAGCCAAGACTTGGAAACAACCGAAATGCCCATCGGTAGACATCTGGATTAAGAAACTGTGGTACATTTATACAATGTAGTATTAATTCGGCCATAAAGAAGAATGAAATCTTACCAATTGCCACAATATGGATGGACCTAGAGAACATTATGCTAAGTGAAATAAGTCAGTCGGAGAAAGACAAATACCATAAGATCTCACTTATATGTGGAATCTAAAGAACTAAACAAATGAGCAAAGTAAACAGAAAAAAAATTTTTTGTTAGGAGGGTAGGCTTCATGTTCATTGTTCTTCCCATAACACAGTTTTTAGAAAGGGAAGAGTCTTACCTGAGGAAGTTCTAACTGAATTATATTTGCATAGGCCAGTTACACAAAAACAATTATTTTCCCCTCTGTGTGGTAAGGACCAGGACTAAAAGCAAGTGAATGCTGATGCCACAGAGAGCTCAAGACTTATCCTGGCAAAGACATCAGCATCTGCTAAAAATAACAGCCTATCATCTTACCTCTGCCAGTGCCGAGGGAGGGATATGAGACTTACCCGCAGAAAACCAGAAAGGCAGACAGACATCCAGTTTGTGAGGAGTTTTTCCACCACGGACTCGGTGCGTCTTAGCATGAGCTTAGGCTGCATGTTACTGCACTGTTCCATCAAGTCCCTGGTCAGCACCTCCAGGATGCTGGTCAGATAGACCAGCTTGGTTTGCAGTGCAATGGTTAAGAAGGAGGCAAACAGACACCTGTTTAAAAATAGAGCCTTTGTTACAACAGCCAAGACATGGAAACAACCTAAGTGTCACCAATAGTTGAATGGATAAAGAAAATGTGGCCTATATACAGGGGGTGCCAAAAAAATGTATACAAGTGGATGCTTTGGTCAACATCACTCAAGCAGTAGTTCACCATAATCAGAAGTGTCTGGACGCTGATGGCAACCACTTTGAGCACCTCTTGTAATTGCAGAAGTCAAACGTGACTTATATTCATCTTTTGTTATCGGTATATGTTGAGTATTACGATTTTAATATAGTTTTCCTTTCTTAAAGTGTGTATACATTGTTTTGGCACCCTCTGTATTTATATATGTGTAAGACAGAATACCAATTTAGCCATAAATAAGAATGAAATCTTGCCATTTGTGACCATATGGATGGACCTTGAGGGCATTATGCTAAGTAAAATAAGTCAGATAGAGAAAGATAAATATGTATGATCTCACTTATGGAAAAAGAGATCAGATTATTTGTGGTTACCAGAGGCAGGGGAAGCGATAAGGGTGGGGGGAATTGGATCAAGGGGGTCAAAAGGTACCAACTTCTAGTTATAAGATAAATAAGAACTAAGAATGTAATGTACAGCATGATGACTATAGCTAACACCGCTATATGATATATTTGAAAATTGTTAAGAGAGTAAATCCTGAAAGTTCTCATCACAAGGAAAAAAAGCATTTTTTAGAAATCTATACGAGATGATGGATGTTAACTAAACTTACTGTGGTAATCATTTTGCAATATATTTAAGTCAAAGCATCATGCTATACACCTTAAACGTATACAGTGCTGTATGTCAGTTATGTCTCAGTAAAACTGAAAGGAAAAAACAAACAAGATATATAAACAGGTGACAAAGAAGCACATTCAAAACAAAACAGAGCCTTGTGTAATGAGGTTGGCCATCAGTTCTGGCTTGCTGGACACAGTTGGTAGTATCCATGGAAGCTCGCAGGGAACGGGGTGTAGTCCTACGGGTGTTTTTTAAAAATGTCTAGTTTCGACCACCTTTGTTTTCCATCCATAAAACCACACACCAATGTTAGGTTAACTTTAGGATGTTTTACGTATCTTCAGCACTTAAACTTTAAACTAGAGTTGTAACAAGGAGTGGCTGTCTCTCCTGAATTTTCAGGGTGTTTTTAAAAATAGAAAATAGCACTTCTGCTTTTTTGATTCAGGACTCGTGTTTCTTCTTGGAGTTGGGTTTTTCAGGGTTTTTTTTTTGGTGGGTGGGGGGAGGGAAGTTGTATGTGTGAGCCTTTAAAATAGAATTTTTGTTCCAGTGGTGTGATCTGACATGGAGATACCATGGATGCATGACCACCCAACCAACTAGCCTGTTCTCAAGACACCAAGTTCAGGTTGTGGTTTGGAAAGAAAATAATGGGCTCTGGTTTTATTTTCTCTACTTAATGACTTTCAAAATATAAACAAATTGACTAATACCTGTCCTTCACTGAAAAGTTCTTCTGCTTTTCAAGGGTGTGGATGACAGTAACAAGGAAACTTTTATTACAAATTAGGGCATCCAAAGCTGTGAGACTCTCATTCTTGTCACTGGCATCTCTGTTCTGGAAAAAAAACATGCAGAGTATAATATGATATGATACAATACAATATAGATAGAATATGGTATAATATAATATAATATAATAATATAATATAATATAATATAAAACTTAAAGTTAGAAAGTAGGTCCACAATGGGTTTTCCAAGACAATGAATTATTTAATATTGAATTCATGATCCCAAAAAACCCACAATAAAAATTCAAAGTAATAATGGAGATGATGATGACGATGATAATAACACTATGAAAGTCAGGCAGTCATGGGCTAAAAATGAAAACTTATAGACTTACATGCATATCCTCAGTGAAGATGTGTGTGAAGCCACCTGACTGAGAGGAAGGAGACACTTTTATTATTCATAACATCCAAAGGAAATGAATAGTGTTTTTTGTTATAATACCCAAGTCCGTTTTAATAAAGTAGACACTATTTGCTAATCTGAAGAGCCCCTGGGCTTATGCTCACTACATAGCCTCTAATACATAATAAATAATTATTCAGCTCTCAAGAAACACCAGTGAATTCTGAAAGCCTCTAAGAAGAATAATTATCCTTGCATCAGTCCCATTTTTGGTAGATGAAGGCGTCTCACACTTTAAAAGCACTGACTCACAGGTAAAGAAGTGGTGGTTAAAGAAGAATATGCAAATGTGCAGACCACTTCTCGAGCCTTGACCTTCAAAGCATAGAAACTGAATCGTGTTGTCAGTTTCTATAAGACTTAGCTGAGTGGTATCTACTGTCTCAATGCACAGTGCTATTCCAGAGGGCGTGGACTGGGGCGATTAAAAGCTAGAATCTGGAGCCAAACCACTTAGGTTCTAGAATCTGGAGCCAAACCACTTGGGTTCCAGTCCTGGTTTCATCACATTCTGGTCACACCACTTGTGACAAGTTATTTAACCTCTCGGTGCCTAACTTTCCTCACCTGCAAAATGGGGACAACAAGGATTCCCACCGCAGGGGCTTGGTGTGAACATAAAATGAATGAGTGCACAGTAAGTTCTCAATGTCAGCTGTTAGGATTGTTTTTATCACGAACGACTTTATCACTGTTGTCCTGCTGGTTTCTACAAATCCTTCTGTGTGCCATGCTACATAGCACCTAGATGTAAACTTGTAAATCTGAGTTTTCCTTTCTAATGTTATCATAAATCTTATTGGAATTCAATGACTAAATTTTTAAAAGCATGCTGAGTAACACTTTACATGAGTCAATAGAATGAAAAATAAACTCAAACATTCAGGTTTATTCTTTCTTTTTTGGGGGCGGATAATAATTGGAACCTTAGGTTATTTGCATATCTTATTAAAGTAAATTTCTTCTGCAGAGAATTTTTGTTTTATAGTTTTAAATTTGTTAGCCTAAGCAAGAAGACCTCATGCTCGCCCCTCGTAATAAGCAGAAAAATCAGACTCTGACTTTGCATTTTCTATTTCCTAATATTTTTCTGGTGAGCCAACTTTCAGTAGACAGGCAGTTTAAACAAACTGACTCTTGACCTTAAATTGGGAAATGTCACCCTGGCTTCTCTAAGACTCCTTCTTCCTTCCATTCAAATTTCCCGTTTTTACTCCTAGAAGATGATCTGTTTCCCCTTATTTCTTGTATCTTCAGCAAAACGAAGAGGTCAATGTCATGAAAAGCAAGGCTTCAAAAGCCAAAACCAGTCAGCAAGGCGAAGAACCAGGAAGTGCTCACATCGTAGCCTCTGCAACCCTACAATTTCCTCTGGATTTTGCCCATTGTTGTCTGGTGGGTTTTAAGCACCCCAAACTCACTCTACCACCCACCCTGCAGGCTTAGGGGTGCGGGCTCCTGAACCCTCAGGAAAGGACCTGACAGGAGGACTTTCTGCAGCCTCCCCTGCATTTCGACTGGTATTGTATCCTTCCTTAATTATTATAAATTCAATGTCAACTTAGGTCTTCTCGATAGGGTTCTGATAAATTTACGCTTGTTTTTCCTGGCTCTTCTGCTCTAATGACTCCTTCCGACTTCAGTGTTTATGGCTTTCTCAGTTGCCTTTCAAAATGACACCCAACCCTGAGTTCAATCAGTTTGGCTTCTTGCAACTTTCTCTCTTCTCCTAAGATAATACAGCAGTTGTTCCTGGGATTTCAAAAAAAAAAAAAATGCTCCGCAACAGTGTTCCTTTGCATTCATCATTCTAGCTTGCTCTGATTACTGAATTGAGAAGATAGGAAAATTTCTTTTTCAGGCCACAGATTACTCTCGTCAGCACTCAAGGGCAACCATTAACTGTAAAAGCCCACGCAGTACTCATGTTGATGCTAGAAATCTCTGTTATTTTATTGCTATTAAATTCTTAATGGGAGTCTCAGCTAGCGGGAAATAGGACTGGTGATGCCACAATTGCTGAGGCTCTGCACCGTCATCCTGAGTCAGGGACTTGAGTTCCCCTCCCTACACAGCACGCGGCTGTAGAAACGGATGAGGTGGCACACGGCAAGTCTTGGTGCCTGGTACTCTTGAAGGACATGTTAAAAAAATACTTTACAAATGCAAAAAGCTATTGATAGCCTTCTTGATTTACAACACTAAGGCTTGGACAAAAAAATATGGTGGGTGTTTTATGGCGGTATCCCAACCTCCAGACACAACGTCACATATCATGGCGTCCACTTCTAGAATCAGAGAGAAACTAGGAATTGCTTACTGCATGGGTCTGAATTTCTGAACTCTAGGCTTCTGGCCAAATGTAGCTGAGAAGCTTCTGGAAGGTGATACAAGCTCTCTTTTGGTTGGAGAGATTTCGGGCTTTGCTTAGAAGACTAGATTTAAACATGATAATTGGTGTCAGTGTGTTCCAGAGGTTGGGCTTCTCTGTAGTCACCAGTTCTGGACAAAAAAGGTAATATGGCGGAGCTGGGGTATCAGGACGTGGAGGTGATGATAAGAGAATGAGTGTACCTCGCCAAAGACTTGGGAGGGTAAATGAAGAAGGCTGAGTGAGTGGGTGAGAAAATGGAGGTGTTAGAACAGAAGTGAGACCGAAAACCCAAAGGGTTAAGTAGACTATTCCTTGGAGACCTAGAATAAATCCATCATTTCGTGCAGCTATTTCTACTAAATGAAGATGATACGAACTGATTAGCTAAAAAATAACTACTGAAGAGAACCATAAAAACTCTGCATTGCTAAAAACTGCTGTTACCAACTCAAATTCTACACATGTCTACTTTCCTCCCTCTCGGCCAGTAGTACTTTCCATTTCCGATTGAGAAGTAATAGTGAATAATCTAGTAGCTGCAATGTAAGTCATGCAGATAAACACGACAAATTGTCCAGACCGCAATTTATTGATTTTTAAATAAACTAGCTTGCTTCCCAGCTACAAATTCAGGTCTAAACTGGTAGCGAAATAAAGCAAAAATCATCACTCTGAACTTCCGTCCCTCCTAGGTTTTTGTTACTGGACAAAGAGTAATTGTCAGTGACCCATCACTGCTTTACACCCTAATCAATCCAATTAATAATTATCCTCCTCCCTGCTCTGCCCACACTTAAGCCATTATTTTGTACCAAGCACATTATCTACAGCTGCCTTAGAAGCAAACACCCGTTTTTTTAACAATAGCAACAAGCACCTTCATTATTATTCAAGGCTCAACCTTAGGAATATGATCAATGCTCTTTTACCTCAGGGAAGAAAGTTCTCAGAGCAAAATGTTTGTAGTCTAGGAAGGGAACAGTTCCAAAACTATCAACCACATCCAATTTATCCATCTGCAGCTCAGCAAAGCCTGCAAAACAGAATCCCAAGAGCAATATTTTAACTAAACAAACAATGGATAAGATCTTCTGCTGTTTTGTCTAACACCGAGTATGACCTTGGTTTTCATTAAAGAAGAAACAATAGATAATTACTTGGTTGGCTGCAGAGAAGAGCTGAAATAAAACACAAAGTCAGGCCCATACCCTGCTGTTCAGTTGTCTTCTATTATACAAACACTTCTCATTACTGCAGCCGTCTCCATGTAAGGGTGAAGGAAAAACAAAAAACAACGCTTGTTTTTTGAGAAAATTTTGGAGCCTACCATCACGTATCTCTTTCCGTAGCTCGCTCTCCAAGAGCTCCAGCTGTTGGCTCTGTTTGCGACTTAGCTCCTTCGATTTGTGCCTGGTCACCCCCACGGCCACTGAGAAGACAGAGATCTAGCATCAGTATGACATGTTAACTTAAAAAACAAAAAGAAAACTGAAAATCAACCTTTGAGGTTCCTTTAGAGAGAGAATGGCATTTAAGAGGTGGAATTTATAAAAAGGAAAATTCCCTGTGAGGGGTCACTCTGAAGAGGAAGATGCTAAAATGCAACAGAAAAACAACAATCCCCAACACACAAAACCCCACTCATCTTAAAAGTGGAAACTAAATCAAATAACCTTCACTTATAGCGAAAGATCCCAGTCGGCTGAAAAGTAATGAAACAAGCCAAGTTTCCCTATAACCACAGATCACTTATATTGTTCCACTTTTTTGTTTGTTTGTTTGTTTCTATCCTGGAGAAATAAAGTTGAGCTGCAAATGCAGAAAGGAGCTACAGATTCATGGTTAGCTGCATAAGCCAAACTTGTGGAGATAAAATGGGGTGACATGATGAGTAGTCCACAATGAAACCCCGTATTTGGATATTGCTTCTTTCTCCACTTCATCTTGCTTCTAATTGTGCTGTAGAGGCACTAAACCAAACAGGTTCGGTGCTAGGGTTCATGTCCCCACTCTGTCATTTACTAGCTGTGTGACCTCAGGTACATCCCTTAGCATCTCTGTGCCTGGCTGCCTGATCTGTCAAAGTGCCTACCTCATGGTGATACTGAGAGGATTACAGAAGTAACTCACAGAAAGCACTGAGAACATTAAAAAAAAAATACTCAACAATTGTCAACTATCACTATTTTATTCTAGAAAGTTTTTCTTCTTTTAATAGAAATTGCATGATAAAAGGATGCTGCTACCAGTAGATGAGAATGATGCTGGAGGAAACAAAATTAAGTACAGTTCTTCCCTGGACCACTTTGTAAAGTGAAGGCTTAATCGTAATATGCATTGTACATCTCCCAGAAAGGGTGGGGCATGCAGTGATTCCCAAATTTACTTGACTGTGGAACCCCTTTTCCCAGGAGCATTATTTAGGACTATTGTTCTTCAGGTTGCAATTTGGGCAACACTGGCTCACTGCATGTAAAGGGAGCTAGCGGGCCACATCTACAAAGCAGTGAGTTTGTCACGGCTAAAATCGCCAGGGGAAGCCACAGTCAGATGTTCTGTAGGTGGCAGGCCTAGGCCAGGTGTGTTGAATGTTTTCACTGGTGATGTGATTGATGGACTGAGAAGTTCACTTTCTCCAGCTGCTGATGACACGTGCCTCCCTGGAATCATGGGAAGAAGGGGATGAGAATTTTAAAGGAATCTGTAGATTCCAATGAAGCCAAAGGCAACATGTCAAATTGAGACCACTTCACCTTAAAGAGCATAAACAATCTTTACAAAAAAAGTGCAGGGACAGGAAGAAAGAAGTCACAGGTTTCTAGTAAGCCACAACGTGGACATGAATTTAGGGTGAGACTGTTATATCTACAGCAGTTTAGTAGCAGCGGATTTTCAAAGTGGAGTCCAGCATTTAGAATTTACAAGTAATCTTTTTTTTAAATTAAAGTTTATCGGAGTGACAATTGTTAGCAATGTTACATAGGTTTTAAATGTACAATTCTGTAATGCATTATCTATATATCACATTGTGTGTTCACGACCCAGAGTCAGTTCTCCTTCCATCACCATATATTTGACCCTGTTCACCTTCATCTACCACCCCCTCTCTCCTTACCCTCTAGTAACCACTAAACTATTGTCTGTGTCTGTGAGTTTTGTTTCTTCATTTGTTTTTCTTGTTCTTTTGTTGTAAGTCAGACAGAAAAAGTGGAAAGCCATATGATTTCACTGATATGTGGTATATAAAACTGAAAACAAATAATCTTCTTACTTGAAGCCCGCACCAGCCAGGACTTTATCAAAATATCAACCCCAATTCTGGATTCCAGATACATAACAGGGGGTAGGTAACTTGGAGAGAGCATAAACAATTACCTGAAATGATCATCAACAGGGTCTCTGCAAAATTAGTTCATTCCATTAGGCCAGTTAATCATACACATTAATCTTTCCCTCACTGGATTGGGAACCACCCAAGACAAAGGACTAGGCTCACCTTCCATAGCTCCACAGACTGGCACAGTTATTAGCCACATAACAGCTGCTCAGTAAACACAAGGTAAACGGAAGCAGAGATGCATGAGTGCATGTGTGAGGGAGTGAGTGTCTGGAAGAAGACATTAGCAACAATTAACAGAAAACCTTAGGAAGGCAATGCCTGTGTTCAATCAAGGAAGATGAGGTGCTACATTAGTGTGGGGAAAAATTCTTTTTTCTAAGAAGACAAGGGGAAACAACATTAAAATGAAAAGCAGCTCAGCACTAGAGGTCACAAACTGAATGGCTCCAGGTACCAGGTACATAGATGTGTTACGTGACCTGGGTGGAGACAATAGGGAGTGGTGGAGACTGCGGCAAAACCTCGCTGAACCTGTGCCCTCTCACAAGTGGTAGCTGCTCTTCAGCTCCAGCAAAGTGATGCTATGGGAAAATGGGGCTCCAACGACTCGGAGCTTTCAAGTTTTCAAGAGGTTTGTAAAAATGTGAATCACCTAATTTTAAAATATTGTCAACTACTTCGAAGTTTAAAAAAAAAAAATGCTGTGTGGGTCAAACGAAACACATCGGTAGGCCAGATTCCGCCAGTGAGGCGACCACCATGGATCGCTGTGCCTGGATAAGCCTTGCAACATTTCACTAGATGGCATGGATCACACTTCTAAAATATGGTTCTGCCAGGAAAAGCAGGGCTGGGGTGGGGTGAGGGGCAGGATGGCAGAAGGAGGTGGCAGGTTGAGGTGATCAAGTCATGGGAGTCCAAAATCTCAGAAGAATTCTGAGGGAGTCAGTGGGACATCTGTTATCACAATTCAAAGGATTGGGGAAGCAATGTGGATTCGATGTCTCAGACACCGAGATAGTGTCTTTGTAATCCAGCCTTTTATTCATAAAGCATCCTAAAAATGTTTAGGAAGCCCTTAACGTGTGCCTATTATTCCTGTCCCAAAGTTTTAATTTGGGTTTTCATCCATTAATACTTCAGTGAAGCAAACAGCCTGTGAGAGGTGGATGGAAGTCGGCCTGCCTGATGAAAGGCCCCAGGGAATCATTTCTCTGACAAAGTTAAACTGGGCACTTACCAAAAATGACAATCACGAGCAGGATGGGAAGACCAATCAGATAATACAAAGTGGAAACAACGGACTCCTGCTTGACGTACAGCTCCAAGTTTCCCAGTTTCACCTGATGGGACAGAGTGTCATTAGTGTCAATCGAGTTGGGTACCATATGCATGTACACAATTTTCTCCCCCAAATGGTTTTCCCCAAGATACAAAAAGAGTTGGCAAGCTAGGCAGGATATCTGAGTTCAAGTCCAATCTCTGGGACAGATTAGTTATGTGACTTTGAGCCAACGAAGAACATTCACTATATCTTGGTTTCCAGGTATTTCAATTGAGGTGTGCTGGACTAGATCTAGAGATTTTAAACTTTGGTCTTCTTTGCCTTGGGGGTTTAAAGAGGTGGTAACCTGAGAGTGAGAAGCCCCTTACCCCTTGACTAAGGAAGCAACTCGACTTTTATCTCTTCTACATCTTACACTTTCTTGGCCGGTCTATTTTGAATGAACCATTCTGTGCAAAAACCAGTTTGTCAATACTGCCTCAATGGTCCCTGAGGGCCTTTTCCAATTTTAGTATTTGGCTATAAAAATTTTGTAAAGGGAAAAACTCTATATCAAGCCTTCTTTTGCATCGACACACACGAGTATGAAGGCACATTTACATCCCGGGAGCCACGGCTGCCCTGATGGAGGCATCTGAGCAAAGTGGCCATAGTACAGACTCTGGACCAGGGAGCCCAGGTCCCAAATCCCAGCTTTGCCACCTACTCTCCTTACCAGCTGTGGGAGCTTGAGACAGTTATTCAACCACCCAGTCCTCCCTTTCCCTGTCTTTAAAGTGTTGATAGCACCTCTGTAGAGCTGTCATGAAGACTAAATGTGCTGTATCATTTAAGTACTCATGGCGCTCCTGCTCAAAAAACTCTTTAGTGCCTCCCCAGAGCTCAAAGCCAAGGCCTCCCGATGGCCATGGCCGACAAGTTCCTAATAATCTGTCAGCTCTCCCCGCTCCCGCCATTAGCTCTCCCGCTCCCTCCGAATACTCCCCCTTTTTCCCTCCACTCCAGCCACGCTGGCCTCCTTGTTGCTTCTTAAACACGCCAGGTAGGCTCCCCACTCAGGTCCTTGCAGGTTCTCTCCACTCGGGCACTCCGCTCCAGACAGCCCACAGCTCATTCCTGCCTTCTCCTTGAGCTCCTTACGCTAATGGCATCTTTTTTTTTTTTTTTAAGATTTTTATTGGGGAATTGGGGGAGAGGAACAGCATTGGGGAATTGGGGAAGGGGAACAGACAAGTTGCTGTCCTTTTGTTCTTCAGTCTAGTTGTGGAGGACATTGCTTCATTGGCCCAAGCTGGCACCATCATTGCGCTCTTCCCGGGCGAGGCAGATTGGTCACCGGCCACTGGACGGCCGCTCATGGCAGCTCACGGCAGCTCACGCTGGCTGCCAGGCACTCACAGTAGCTCACGGCAGCCCACTGCAGCTTCACTGCAGCCTACACCGATGCCAGCGACTCACAGCAGCCCAGCTCCAGGTTGAGCTGTTGTTCAGCATCTTAGCTGTAGAGGGCAGTGTCACTAGCCCTCATGTGGGATCTGAACCGGGGCCCTGCTGCTCAGAGCCGGCATCCCAAGTCAACTCTTAACCAACACACCACTCAGCCGGCCCACCAATGGCATCTTTACAGGGAGACCATTTCCACCCACTATTGTGAAACTGACAGCACTGCCCCCAGGCTCCTATTCCCCTCCCTGCCTCATTGTTCTCCATAACAGTTACCACCATCTAATGCATTTTTAATTTATTTTCTTTGCTTTGTATCTCTTTAGGTAATCACCATAAATATAGGGGTGTTTTGTTTTTTTTGTCTGTTTTCTTCTCTGCTCTCTCCCCACCACAGTGGAGGCACTTAGGAACTATTTCATGGATAATGAAGAATGCTAGTATTTGCCCTTCTCACCTAACTGGACAGGCGGGGAGCACTGGTGAGTTTAGGTGTTGTTATTGATTTGATAATGATTATTACCACCTTTATGATACAACAGATAGACAAAGGGGGGCTTGGTGAAGCTAAGTGACTTATCTAAGGCCACACAGCTATTAACTGGTACAGCTGGGATATGAACTCATTTTTGTTTTGCTTTCTTGTCTGATGTTCTTTTTTCTTGTCCTTTATCCAATTATTTATGGCTATAGAACATAAAGCATTTTGTGGTGCGGGGGGTAGACTAGCGGAGCCTCATAGGGCATGAACACTATAAAGGGAGAATTCTAATATGTTTCCCTTCCCCCTGGCCTCACATCTTTATTGGGGAACATAAATATACCAGTGCTGGGACCCTCAAACATGTCTGGGAAAAGATTCATTGCAGCAAATATGACTTCACGCTGGAGGAAGCAGCCCAGCAGCCATAGATTATCCCGTGTCCATGAGACCCAAACGTTCCTCTGATGTGAAGAGGCCCCGTCTGGGGTTTCTGCTAAGACATGTCACCTTGGCGTTTGGGAAAACAATGACAGCTCATTTGTCAAGGGGTGTGGAGATTCTGCTTGCAGATGCTACAGTCTCAACGTATGGCTAGAACAAAGCTATCAAGACTCATTAGCATTACAGACAATGGTATGTTCAACGCTCTGACATTCGAATAGACACGTGATGAATTCTGGCAGCTACCTGGAGGAATTTTGCTTGGGCCTGCAATAAGGGCTTTGAGCATCTTCTATTTAAAGTGAAGATCTAAAGCTCCAAGAGAGAGTCCATTCTGGTTTCTGGTTTAGCCAAGGAATTCCCCCCAAGAAGGTAAAACTAACAGGGAGAATTGTCAGGTGACTTACTCGAACTTTCTGGGAAGAGGAGGCAATGCTGTTTGCAGTTCTGATGCCTTTAATTTTGCAGAGGATGGTGGTGAGATCTTGATTTCTGGTAATGTTTTCAAAGTTGCAATTTAATTGCTTATTTTCCCCGTGGAAGAGAGTAATTTCAATGTCTTTCTGGGAAATGTTGAAGTTATCATTTTCTTTCTGTGAAGAACAAAGCGAAGATGAAGAAATCAGGGTGCACGTGACAACTCACAAACATAAGCACACCTTTCCAGTCGAGGGGGCACAGCTCACAAGAAGAAAGGGAAACGTACTAGAATTTTCACTTCCAATTCTGTGTCCACCTCGGGGTCAACCCGATACCCTGTAAATTGGGGGTCTTCCAGATACTGCAAGCTTCCACAATCCAAGTAGGTCTCTTGAACTCTCAGCTTCACAGTGACATTCGTACGCACTTTTGAACTCTTTAAACTGGGTGCTAAGAAGCTGCAGTTAGTCGCCACACAATATTCAGAGACCTGAGGGAGAAGAAAAGAGCATTTAACAACTTCATGAATGAATTCCAGCTCTGGGATTTAAGAACTAAATGACCCAAGCAACTGAACTTCTTTGTGCTTCTGTTTTCTCACCTGTAAAATGGGATAACAATATTGTCTGCCTCACAGGACTGAATTAATCCTACATCAAATGAAATGAGATGAGGGCTCATTAAATTATATAAGGGCTACATTAAATGAGATTATCCACGAAAAAAATGCTTAGCTTCGTGCCTGGCACACAGTAGAGCTCAACAAATGCTAGCGATTATTATTCTTAATGACAACGAAAGCAGCCAGAAAGTAATGCAATGGGGACAAAATGGTACCCAAAAAGAAGTAGGCTAGAGAAAGGGGAAGACTTTGCACCAACAGGCCTGTGTGTCCTTCAAGCCATCAAGGCAGAGTCCTGGGAAACTCCAGGAAGGGGAGACAAGAACCCTGCAAGCGGCTGCTGAGTCACTGTTTGTTGGGGAACCTTCTGTAGCACTTTAGCAGAAATCACTAACCACAAGGAGGAAAAGGCTTTGCAAGCCTAACAGAAAATAGGGGAAAACAAAATTAAAAGGGACAACGCGTCCCTTGTGACATGAAGAGCATGAAAACCGGAAACAATGCAGAACGTATGGCCTACTTTACAGGTTTATTTCTAAAAAGCAAACAAACATAAATACTGTCATTTTCAGGCATGCAAATGCCTGAAAGCTGCTGGGAAAAGGAGGCTGACAAATGTTTTAAAGAAGAGCAATAAAACTTACGAAAAGAAATTGGTCAGATGGGGAGTTTTCCTTTTTTAATTTTTCTCTAATATTGGAGTGTAACAAAGAGGGTACGATAGGTAATCGGTGGGATTACACCAATTGCGAAGGGCTGAGATTTGGACAAGCAACACCTCCTTCCCTCTTAACGCCTTTCCAAACGACAGCCCCAGTCTCCTGTTCACATCCTGATACAGTGATGAAAACCACCCACCCCACTGTCTCTCCCTTCGCAGCAGCTGTGACCCCAGAAGGTTGGCTTCTTTTTAGAGATGTTTTCCAGAAAGATTACCGGTGACAGGGTCACCCTAGCCTCATTATTCTCAAGTCAGTTTCCGCACTAACGACTAGCTCCCACTACTGGAAATGCTTTTTCGCTAGTTTCCAGGCAACTGCTTGGTCACTCTCACTAGCCATCTTATTTGCTTTCGCTCCTTAAAATGAAGCGACTCTGCAGGATTCCAAACTAGATGCTCTTCTCCTCTTCCTCTGCACTCTCACTCCCATGAAGTTGTTCTCATTCTGCCTTTATGACAACTCTAGAAACGTGACACAATCATCTCGAGCTCCCCACTCTCCCCATCATGCTAGACCTGCCCTACTGACCACAGCCCAACAGACAGCTCAGCCAGGGGCCCTGCTCACATCCCAAACACATCTGGACTTGGCGTCAGCATTCTCACTGGTCTCCTGACCTTTTTTACAGTTACTGCTTCTCCAAACTCTCGCATGCACCCTTGCCAAAATAATCCTCATAAAGGGTACATATACTCATGTCACTTCCTGCTAAAACCCTTCAATTCCCCGCCCCCCCCCAGACTTCAGGGCAGTTTTCATTCTGACGCTCTCTCGTAGCCCCAGTTTTCCAGCCATCCCTCTCGCTCATTCCTGACACATCCTTAGGCTCCAGCTGAGCACGACTGACATATTCCCACAGTGGCCAGGGAGTAACCTGACCTTCTCCTCTGCACCTGAAATTGCCTCCCTGCTCCCACCCATCCATGTCCTACCCGTCTTGCTCCACTCTGCAGACATTCCTAATTCCATCCATATTTAATTTCCCCTTCATGTAGAAATATACTTACGGGATTTCTGAGCTGGAAGGGGACCAGGGGACCTAGATTTTGAGGACATTCTGTGCTCTCAGCTTTCAACCCCAGTGCAGATTTGCTCTCTTACTCCATGAAGGCAATGTGCCTATCTTGTTTGTCTTTTTTCCCTGAACCAATTAAAGTGTTTTGCCCATAGTAGGTGCACAATAAGTTCTATTTGATCTAGAAACATCAGTGAGGAGGGAGAGCAAGTCCACTTACAAATGCAGGCAATGTCTCTGGTCAGAGGGTCAGTCTATGCAAACAATTCAATGGGACGTGTTCACATCATGGAGACGTGGCCTGGAATCAGATACAATGTGAGGCTTGGAACTGGCTTTGATGTGTGTCAGTAGGTGGACATGTGTATGACAAGGCTGTAAGGATGACTTAGGAAGGCACCCTGTATGTAGGTATGAACCCACACTGGTCCCGAGCAGGGGCCAGGTCTGTGGCGAGCCTGCCAGCTTCGACAGGAAGTGGTGAGGTTGCACCCTGGAGAGGCTGCTCCCTTCACATGGGGAAAGCATTCAGGAAGGGTTCAGAAGTGCACTCAGAGGCCCCAACCTGTATCTGAAATCCATCATTTCCTGTCACGAGACCTGTGACTCCTGTTGGTGTAAGAACTGGGTGAGGGATGGGCACCACACCACTGTGTGGGGAGACGAAAGGCAGGCGGAGGTGAGGTCAGAAGGAAGGGACCAAACTGGGTCAAAGAGACAATGGCAAGAGAAGAAGCCTACGACAAGATCTCTGGGACTTTAGTGGGTCACTAAACCTCTGAACCGCAGTTATCTGTGCAAAGGGAACACCACCTACTCTTCACAGAAATGCTATTCTTCTTTACATCTCGGCTTCGCCACTCACAAGGCATTTTCACACATAGTCATAAACACTGCCTCATTAAAGCGACTTGCCATAAGTCACACATGGAGGAATGGCAGGTCTTCTCACACCAAGTTAATTCCTTTTTTCTCTGTGCCACAACTTGAAATACTCAACTACAAGTACAAGGTCTTATTATTTCTATTACAGCATATGGTATAGATCATGCAACAGGTAAAAGCATATAATATCACAAAGACACAGAAACAAATGATATCCCCGAATATATTTCAGTGTGATAAAAACAAAAGCATCCTTTAAAATAACTATTACAAAGCAGCCAAAGACTTACATTTATGTTTCCTTTTAACTCGTGTGAAATGATTAAGTTGTCAATGACATCAAAATTTCTGCCCTCGATGGTTATATTTTGACCACCACTGCAAGCAAAAAAGCAACAATAGGAGTTTCATAATAAACACATAGGCATTTTACATTTATGAACAAAGTTATCAACTTATTCACACTTAATATTAAACTCATTTATGCTTGAGAGCAAATTAACAAATTTTAATTTCAAATGCAGAACCATTTTAGAAGTCTTTTAATGATACTGGCTAGAAAGTCATAGTTTTTAAAATACATAAATGTAAAAATTCACATCAGATACGGTTGTAATTTGTAAGAAAACGCCCAAACTCTTTTACAGAATTTTGAGTTTTGTTATGTTACATTGCCACATATAATCAGATCATCAAATGTACCTTGAAAAGGTTTGACTAAACAGAGTTCTGTTTGATTGCTGCTTAATCCATATGAAGATTCTTCAATCTAACAGTTTTCAAAATCAAACTCCCAACCTACCAATTATATCTTATTTAGGGAGACAGGCAACACTTTGGGCAGGGTAAAATTATAAACGACATTAAAAGTAGGTATTCGTATTTGGTGAACCCCATAAATAACAGCTCCATTCTATCTGTCCAGAACCAAGCCAAATGATTTCACATATTCTCAGCACATAATCTCATGTAAGCAAAGTGGTCATTAAATGTGAAATAAACAGCTGTCCACAGCTCTGGCTGCCCTCACATCCTCATTCATGTAGGTCACTAGACACTCATTCCAGGGGACAGACGCCTGGGTATGTCAGCCGAGCCCTTGATGACAAGACCAGGAGGTGGGCACGAGCAGGCCAATTTGTGTAGGGCAGAAGAACGACCCTGAGCCTTGAACCTTCCAGCCATGAGGAGGAAGCGCTGAGTTGGCCTCACGCCAGCCTGTCGCCATCATAGAAAACCAGGCCAAGCATACACTGCCAATGGCTAGGCTGCAGAGCCACGTTCTTGCCCAGGAGTCCCCGAGAGACACAGGCTCTGAATATCACCGTTGACTGGACGTTAAGAAGCCTCTTATTTCATGGCAAAGTGGAACGCTGGTGTCTTAGAGAGCAGCACCCTGGGCCAGACTGCCTGGGAGTCCGGGCAAGTCATTTGAACACTCCATGCCTCAGCTTCCTCATCTGCAAAAGGGACCACTCCTAAGAGCCCTTATGCATGTGAGCATTAACTGAGTCGATACATATAACACCAGGCATGTGGGGAGTGCCACATCCATGTTTGCCTTCATTTAGAGGAAGGAACTAGACCTAGAGCAGGGAGTGCCATGCTAGAGCCTTAGTTTGGAAATTTTAGTTTTCCTCATACTACTGTTAGGGGTGGAATTGCTGAAGTCCTAAACCTCAGCACCTCAGAATGTGGCTGTATTTGGAAATAGGGACTTTAAAGAGGTGAGTAAATGAGGTTATTAGGGTAGGCCCAAATCCAATACGATTGGTATCCTTATAAAAAGAGGAGATTAGGACAGCGATAGCCACAGGAAGAAGGCTGTGTGAAGACACGGGGAAGAAGGCCGTCTGCAAGCCAAGGAGAGGGGCCTCAGAAGAAGCCAACCCTCACAGCACCTTGATCTTGCAGTTCTAGCTTCCAGAACTTTGATGACATAAATCTCTGTTACTTAAGCCGCCTTTCGGTGGTGCTTTGCTAAGGCAGCCCGAGCAGCCTAATACATCCACCTCTCGCTTAACTTTAAATAAGAATATTAGCAGTGATTTTTTTCTTTTGTTGTTTTCTTTATCTTTCTTTTTTTAAACAAAGCTTCATCTGTAGTTTCATCTAGATAGTACTTTGAAAATTAGTTTCATGCTGTTAGGTGAAGAAAATATCTTTAGGATTATATTCGAAACCTGAATGTGAATTTAACTTCAAGTAGAGAGAGAATTTATTTTTTTCTTGATATATTGGAGTCATCTGGAAGAGCTTATTTTGGAATTTCCATCTCTCACTTAGGGGGTATCTCTGAAATGTAGATACTACTTTCCATTTAGATAGCTCCCAATAGTTCCTCAAATTATTCAAAACAGCTTATTCTAAAGGTTATAAAATGAAAGATGTAAGAAAGGAGAAGCTTTGCATCATGGGCAGGAGTGAGACATAGTGAAGAGGGCTGTGTATTTGTACCAGAAGCCTAGGCCAAGAATAGTTACTACAATTGAACAAATATATACAGATTTTTTTTCAAATGTTTTTTACCATATGAGTTTTTTGTTGTTGTTGGGGTTTTTTTATTGTTAGTTTCAGGTGTACAGAACAATGCAATAGTTATCCTTTTTACCCTTCACACAGAAACAATCCCCCTCCCCCATTTACTGCCCTCCCACCCCCGATATCATACTTATCTATTATAACTGAACAAATATTTTAAAAGGTGAAAGATTTATATGACCTGAAGAGAAACCAGGGTATGAACAAACATTGTAGCTGTGAGTTTTCGGGTAGCCATGGCTAAGAGTAAAACAGACAGGTATGCTCATCATGTTCACCTTGACCATGGGAAACAACCTGTTCTCAGGTATGCAGTTGTTTTGTAGGCATACATCCTAAGAGGCATTCTGTGAGAGGAATTTAGATAGGATTATCACTTCTATATTTCTTTGAATGGAATCCGTGATCTTTTGGCACCTGACCTTTTTAACCACAATGAGATAAAAATAGGAATGTAGACAGTACCTGATCCAGGTGGTAGCAGGATATATGCGGGAGCACTGTGGCAGGGCAATATAAGACAAGGGTCCCACAGGAGTACAGCTGCCACCGTCGAAGTGGATGCACACATCCTTCATTTCTTTTCGACTTGACGGAAGAGAGAATTTCATGTGGGTGTCGTTTAGCACATGGCTAACCTGTATCCTAAAAAGGAGTAGAAAAAGAACTCTTAAATGACACAGGCACTTAGCACAGTTAATTGTGCAGATGACAGCATATGGATTTCATGAACGACAACAGTTCATGCACTATCAGAACAGCTGCAGACAACCACGGATTAATCAGGGGTCACTTATCCAGTTTGGGTATTGTCTGAGGAACAAAGGGTTCCTCTTTATTTTGTGCATTTCTATGTGTTTTATTTGTATTTCCCTTAGAAGTGGGGCGGGGAGGGGGGAAGAGATAACCATTGCCCTTAAGAAGCCCTAACAGAAAGCAGACCATGGACAGGATATTACGTTCTATTACGGAATTACTGTTAATTTTGTTGAGTACAATAATGGTGCTATCCTTATCTGTTAGAGATACATACTAAAATATTGATGAGTGAAAGGATATGGTGTCTGGGATACGCTTTTAAAAACTCCAGCTGCCATTCTCCCCGCCCCTCCAAACATGCAGAGGAGATAGAAGACGCAAGGGCGGCAAATGCTGGTAAGTGCTGAAGCTGGAGGATGGGCACAGAAAGGTTCGTTACACTCTTTTCTCTTGTGTATGTTTGGAGATGTCCATAGTGAAAAGCTTAAAAAAGAGAAGTCCCAGTAAAGCACGGGAGGGTAGAGCTCAACCTCGGGCAGAGATGGGAATTCTGCTGTACAAAGAGCAGAGAGCCGATGTCTGAAGCCCATGCCACGAGCCAAGAACCCATCAGCCGTCAGAGCCAAGCTGCCTCCCAAGGAGCTCCAGCCTGAAACTGGCTGGGCCTGTCCTGCATGCTCCTGACATCTGAAAGGTGTGCCCTTGTCACCCTTCAGGAGTCAAAGCAAAGCCTTTACAACATTCGCTCTGTGCCGCATGTCTACTGTGACCCTCTAAAGGGCAAACACTTAGACTGGGTTGTGTCTGAAGAATGCTCAGTATGATTATGCTACATGAGGACTTATCATTACTACTTAAAGGATATGTGCATGGTTATTAACTTAAATGCACATATACTTTAAGTTATAATAGTAGATTCTAACAATAAGGCAAATTCAAGAAACATTTGAGTCAGTGTGTACTTACACTACCTCAGATTTACATTCTAGCTCTATGAAATTCATCATAAAATGGCAGATCATTAAAATTTGAACTTGTTTGTTAATTTTGGAAGGAGAGTGGCAGAAATGTGGGTCATTCCACTACTATTCTTGTATTTTCCTCTTTTAGAATAATTAGGCATTTAAAAAATACTATCTGAAAAGAGTTTGGGCTTACAGCATGAACTCAGCTAAAGGATTAACTGGGTATTATGTTTACTGCTCGTGAACTTGGGTTCACCACACAAATGTGGTTAGTGAAATGCTACATGCAGAAAGGTCTCTTGGTGATTTAATTTAATAACTGCAGTATCTCTGGACACATTCAGAATTGAAATGAGAGCATAAAGAGTCAGAAACAGGGTGAAGCTCTGAAAAACAACTTATTTTCCAGTGATTTGATTGTCTGTCAGTGAACATACAGGTGTCTAACTTCAGATTTCATTACACAAAACGAAAGAATTTTGCAGTAAGATATTTAGCCAGCATAAATGGCCCTAAAACACCTATGTCACATAGCGATAGCCATTAATGTGTGCTTGAAAATTCTGGTAAATAGCAGAACAGAGGAAAGCCATCGACGAGCAGCTTTTCCAATCAAGATGACAGACATCCCGAATTTACTGCTGGGAGGGGAAGGGGATGGCAGTTATATGTGGCAAATGAATTAAAACAGAAAATTCAGTAAATAAGTGTGGCAGATTAAAATACTGTACAAATCTGTTTTAGTAGTTAAAAACCAAAACATCACGCTTTAGCAGATTGTCTTCAATGCATTTCCATGATGAGAACAAGCTCAGTATGATACTTCATGTAGACTGCAACATCTTTTACTTCAGATTAGCCCAAACTTACAAAAGCTAACAAGCAGAAAACTCAGATAATCTACTGTGTTATTATATTACATCTCCTTTTTCGGGGGAGGGTAACATTTGTACAAGAATGTCAGTGAGACACTGAAATTTTTTCTCTCTCAAAAGTCTCGTTGAAAGGATGAGTTAGGGGGGAAAGAAGTCATAGAAATAATGATGTGCAAGTAGTATCCTGACCAGATATTATGTTCCATTTCGTTGTTATTTGAGCATGAAACCAATCCAATAAAGAGAAAGCCATAAAGAATAAAATGATCAGCAAGTTTATTTTTTCAACTTTGAGCAATCCATTGGAAGAACTGTCATATTTTCCCATGAAATTCTGAGGTACTCAACTGTTTTTCTAAGTGGATCATCTTCAAAATGATACGTGCTACTCAAAATACTTGATTTTGTTAATGAAAACAAATGAAGACATCCTGAAATTATGGTGTACTGAGATTTTTTGGGGGAGAGGGATAACACGGGAAAGAGTCTCTCACAATTAACTTCATATGTGGTGTATAAATAATTTTACTTTTTGAAATTAGATCACATATGCAGAACAATTGGCCCACTTTGGCACATGGGAATAATTTGACTATACAAAGATTATAGTTCTCTGGCATATGTCTTAGCTTTTCTTGACATTATCAAGGATAAATTATGAATATTTTAACTCACACATCCTTCTCACAAGTACTGGTTCCTTTCAGGATCATTACGATGTTAGATGCCTGGGTAAAGTTTGCTCCTGTGACTATCACGTTCCTTTTCCCTAAGGTCGATATTTTCTGTGGCTCAATGGACTCAATGTAGAAGACCTATTGGAAAGAAAAGATTAAAACACAAGATCAAAGCTAAGGCATGGCATTGTTCCAAAAAAAATCTGTTTATGCGCTGCCGTTCAAAGAAATCACTGGGAAATTACAACATTTTGCAAACACAAGCAGACAGTGTTTAATGAAATCAATGAATTCAAGGAAGAGTGCTGAAGATTCATGTCTCTCAACATGCGACAGCATGAGGTCAAACCAATTAATTTTTGTCTCACAAGACAGTTGAAAAACAGTTGAAGAGTCTGACATTCTGTCTGAAGAGTGAGATATCACTCGAGCCTCAAAAGTGCTCACTGCTTTACAGCCCCTGGAGACTCACAATGTAACAAAACGAAGAAAAAGACAAGGAGTGCACTGATCATCGGCCAATGACACTCATCATTAAGTGGGAATAAATGTCATTCTGGGTAAATTTAATTCCCAAGAAAGGAGTTCCTATTTTTTGTTTGTTTCACTCAGGCTACTTGAATCCAGAGTATACTGCAGGGGGAAAACCTCGAGAAATCAGCCTGTTCAGTCACCTAGTATCAAGTAGTTGGATGCCATGTGACCAACCAGTTCTTCTCCATGCTTTGCAGATACCACCATCTCCACCTTGGTACCCATTCCAAGCTTTATCAGGCCTTTCTTTATCAAGTAAGTTTCCCTTGGAATCATCTGATACCTGTCCCCATGTTAGGCAGGCTTACGTACCTTACTTCTCCATTTGCAATGTTTAATCAAATTCCCCTAAGGGGAAAAAAAAGACCTGTTTTCAGGGCAAGAATCATTTTCTCTTTCAAAGACAAAACAATCCTGATTTCTTTCACTTTTCTCCTACAGCTACCACCATCTATCATGTTGATCATTTTGTTGTTCTTCTGTAGACCATTTCTGGCAAGTCTGTACTCTTTCAGAATATGGTGACCAAAAGAGGACATAAGACTCTAAGACTCTGGCTGATATAAAGCACAGCAGGTCTTTAGCATGAGTCAATATCCTACTCATACTCTTCATATTTGAAAACAACCCCCAGATCCAGAGACACATAATCATGTGAAATTGGGCTAAGGCATAAATGCGGAATGTATCTGCTTAGAGTCGAAAGTTTAGGAGGAAGCCACTTAAAGTGCTGGAAGAGTATTAGTCACGTTTAATACCTGCCCTACCGTCTGTTTCTTGAAGTAGCCTAGCATTCTCTGCTTCTTTGTCCGAGGTCTGAAAATTAAGTTCACGAACTTCTTGCAACAATGTTGCTAACCTTTTTTTTGATATCAAAGGGATCACTCATTATGAATTTGTACCAACTTAATCAAGTTTTTTTATTTGGAAGTGCTACAAAGGCTGCATGAAAAAGTTAGATGACCTGAACTTTTCACCAACAATTCATGGCTCTAGCATCATGACAATGCACCAGCTCACATGGCACTGTCTGTCAGAGAATTTCTAGCCAGTAAACAAATAACTGTATTGGAACACCCTCCCTACTCACCTGATCTGGCCCCCAATGACTTCTTTCTTTACCTGAAGATCAAGGAAATATTGAAAGGGAGACATTTTGATGACATTCAAGACATCAAGGGTAATATGACAGCTCTGTTGGCCATTCCAGAAAGAATTCCAAAATTGCTTTAAAGGGTGGACTAAGTGCTGGAGTTGGTGCATAGCTTACCAAAGGGAGGATTTCGAAGGTGACTGTAGTGATATTCAACAATGAAGTATATAGCACTTTTTCTAGGATGAGTTTGCGAACTTAATTGTCTGACCTTGTATGTGCGACACTCACCACAATGGCTTGCTGGGCTGTGGGGCCTGACTATTCTGCCAAAAGGGATGTGTTATTCTGCTCCTTGGCAAACACAGGTCCTATATGATAGAGAGGTCACCATCACTCATTATTACAATGGATTTGTTTTTCAGATTGAGATAAATTCATCGTTAATGTCATCACAGCAATGATGCAACGTGACAGAGAATTGATTTTGGTGACACAATTTATTTTAATCACTTAGTAAAGGACTTTAGTCTCATATTTATAGAATCACGAAGGACCTGAAAGGGTCACTTTAATTATTCTGTTATACTTGAGTGCATTTTATGGGAAAAATTATCTGCAGGAGTGGTACTTGGAATGGGGGGATTAGCGGAGACTTAAAGATAAATCCCTTGCAAATGTCAAGTGTGTGTTGTATAGCAAAAGGCTTACTCTTTGCTCTAACATCATGACAGCTAAGTGAACAGCATTTCCTGAACACTTACCTACAGGGTCCCTAGGATGGTGCTCGAGGTTGTGGCGGGGACATGATGTACGCACTAGATCAGGAGTTGGCAAGCTGCTGGATTTGCCTAAAGCAGCCAAATAAATCCAGGCTATGGTTTGTTTTGATATGGCCCATGAAAAAATGTTAAAGGAAGAATGATATTCCATGGCATGTGAAAATACATAAAATTCAAACTACAGTGTCCGTAAAGGCAGTGTTTTTGGAACACAGCCATGTCCACTCATTTATGTATGGTCGGTGGCTGCCTTCATGCTGCAGCGGCACAGATGAGTAGTTACGACAGAGACCTCACAGCTCACAAAGCCTAAAATATTTATTGTCTGGCTCTCTGAAGAAAAAAAATTGCCAACTCCTACACTAGGGGAGTCCACTGTCTTCCTAGGCGGACAAGAGAAACTGTGTGTTTTATTTTACATAACATCAATACAGGCTCATGTTTACATCCAAGTAAACTATGATTCCCAGGTTTCTATCTAGATATTCCTTTCTGCTTCTTATAATCATACTGCAGGTGTCCATTCAGGCACAATTTTCAAACATGCCCAGTAGATGCTACTTCTCCACTCTCAGCAGAGGATAAAGAGAGCCCTCATATAACTAATGTACACAAGATTTTTAAGGGGGTGATATTTTGCTCCTTAAATGGCTCTACAAATGCCATCAGAGGACCTGCCACATTGCCTTCTTAACTTTTTATTTACCCCTGAGTAGAGATGGCTGCTACTTCAAAAGGATTTCATTTTAAAACTTTACTGTTTAAAGAAGCTCCCATTGGCTGTCTCAGATGGAATTCAGCTGTAGCCTATCTCATGAAAGCAGATGCTTCTACTCTGCTTTCAAAGAAGGTCAGATTAGTTGTCCTTTGTTGGCTTGGAGAACCTCTCTTTATCTTAATAAGTGAGTCAAAGAGATACCAAGAGGACCTCATTAAATAAACGGTGCAGGTATACAAAGAAAAAAAACCCAGATTGGGTAGCTACATGGCTGTACCACATAGCCGCAACAATTCTTAGAAATATAACATGTTCTATTTTTACTGATAAGAGTTTTAAAAATCCAATACAGACAAAAGGCAAAGAATGCTCACCCACAACTGTTCCACACACTTAATAGTTTAGATCGACTTTTGTATTTTAATCCAGAGTTTCACAGGCTGACACGAAATAGTGGGCCCCACAAGCTTACACATATAAGGTTTGGTTAATTTAAAAACATAACCTAGTTTGATACAACGAGACAATTTCTTACAGCCCTACGGTGAAGTCCCTCCCTCATCCTAGGTTCAAGGGTTTTCATATATCAAATCGAAATACCATAGACTGTAACCCTCAGACTGTAACCCTCACAGCCCTAGGTGGTCCAGCAATTAACTTCAGAATAGTCCACTTCCTGTCAGTTACATTTTAAAGACTTAAAAGTCATTTTTAAATGGCTACATGATTTTAAATTATTTAATAAAATAGTATGAACTCTGGTCGCTCACGAGTTTAAATGACTCCCTGTTTTGCACATTAGAAACTGGTTAATTAGGTGATTACAGAATACCTAATTATTTTTTACTGTTTTTTAAAAAACAAAGTCATTATAGGATATTGGAAATAGCACAACCACTGAGAAATAGTTACCTTTGAAAAGGTCTAAGAGGATTACTCCTGATAGCAAGAGTACCTTTTGTGAAGTCTGACGTCAACACAATTCAAATTACCATGACATTAATGGAGAGAATACTGCTATGATTGGCAAGAATATTGGAAAGAGGTACATTAGGAGGAAGGCTCAGTTTATTAAGACCAAATTGTACTCTATTAATCTGTTTTAAAAAATCTGAATACAGCAAAGCTCTCTGTGGGCCTGGACCTGAATCAATACTCAGTAACACATCTCTCAGAGTTTCACTCATGAAATTAGTTCAAACAGGACTGGATAAAAAGTCACATGGATTCAAAACCAGCTGGAAATGTGAAACCAGAGAACATTAGAGAGATGAAAGGTAGCATAACTAATTAAAGCAGTGTCCTGTAGGGCTTCACAGGGGTGACTATTTGGCTAAGAATTATTTAACATCTTTATTAATGACTGAGAAGGGCAGAAGTAATATATTAATGAAATGTATAAATTAAGAAGAGTAGCCACCAGCAGTGGGGACGGTTAAGGTGCAAAAGGAGTTGAGATATGGAAAGAAAACAGCAAAATACTATCCCACCAAAGAAAAATTAAGGAGTTAAATGAAACAAAAAGGTTATCCATTTGATGCTCAGCTTCCAGGCAAATGCTCCTTCACGGGGGCCCCTGGTAAAGGCCCCAGGGAACATGGAGTGTAACTTCCAGTTGGTTCCAGAAACTGGCAAGAGCTAGAATGCTGACTGAGATAGACCTGGACTTCCAGGGAGAAGGCGACGGACCAAGGCCCGGTTCCGGGCAGCGGAGGCTCGCTTCTCTGACCTGGGGGCTCTAAGGTGAGGCTGACACGGCCCAGGGTGCAGCTGCCAAGGCCGCTTCATAAAGTCATTCCCCTTCGTCCCTGAACCCCCTGAGCCTGGCTCCTGAGAACCGGACTGGCCGACCAGGCTCCGTGACCAGGGAGGGCAGCACTTCCTCTCCAGGAGACACTCCTGCTTGCAGAGTAAACCCAGCCACTCAAAATCCACCCCTCTGCCGAGTTTCAGCTTCAGCATGAGATTCTTGCTGCTCTACAATCCCAAGGGCCTCAGTTTCCCCACCTCA